TAACAACCACGTAAGTTTTACATATTTGCTCAACTAACAAAATAATTATACTTGAAAAATCTGGAAACTTCAATCCAAACATAACCCGGCCGTACATATCCCGATATCCGCTGGTTGAATGATGAGAAGTCGCTGTACTGAGTATCAGATCTTAGTCTAATATAAACTAAGATAGTAAACGAATAACGAAATTTGCCACATGCAAACAGAACCACATTTTAATTGATTAAATACGTTTTACGTGTAATGGAAAATAACTATATATTTTTTTTGCATGGGATGGGCGAATCATCTAGGCGAACAAATCCGGCCGCATGCCACCAATATTGGCTCAGTACGCATCTGATTGGTTAATCGATATATCAAACGCATCTGATTGGTGAATGGTCTCTTTATAGTAGCCACTAGAGCGTAGGTAGTGCATGGAAGTCAAATCTGAGCCTCTCAAATAAAACTATTTTAATAGGAAGTGAATTGTATTTTAGCATCGTATAGGTTCGTTGGCGACTTGGCGTTAGGTAAAATTGCTTTGGAATAACGATATATAGCCTTTAATGTTTAGCCTAAACAATTAGATAAATTCCAAAAGCGACATGGCATTAGCAATGCTCGTTTGACTTGTATAATACCTTCAGCGAACTCTCGTACAGTTCTTTCATATGCAACTCTTGTTCTCTTTTGTCGGGACATGAAAGTCGAGAAAACGCGATCTCCGGCGAAATCACACTTGTCAACTCTTATCCACGTTCGACCAGCGCTTCATGGTCTCATTGCATGCAGATTAATTGTAAAAATCACAGTTCGACATCCAATATAACAATATATAACCACCTGCTTTGCCCTCGAAGTAATGGAGGTCCTTCAAACGTATTCGATCGTCACTGTTGGGCGTTTCCGTTTAATGAAGAGAATTAAGAGACCATTGCATTAAATTTCGGTAATTGGAAAATACTAGAGTGATTCGACGATAATCATTTAGTGTTGGTTTGTCCGATTTTTCAAGATTATTCGTTTTAATTTTTGCCCTAATTATTTGTAGGGAAGCCAGCACGCAAATCCTTTTTCTGTTTATTTTACTTCGGAGGTACCTCACCCAGGAAATATTGAACCACTCCTATTTCACGCCATTGTTGAGGGTCACTAGACCTCATATTTATTGCCAATATGTTGCTGTGTTGAGTATGTGTCACAAGACCTCATAATTATCCAATAATTATGAAGTCACTAGACCTCATAATTATTGCATATTCTATTCCTTCGGACTCAGTTGCCAACAGCAACGTAGGATCAAAACAAAGTCAAGCAATGAAAGCAAGAGTATACTTTCTAACTAGGTTGTAATTCGTTTTGAAGCATAACGATTTAATTGATTAATCCAGATTAAAAAGGGAAATAATTTGCCATTTTGCAAACCTCCCATGAAATTAAACGTACAATATTGTCCTTCACTCCTTCAGTAGCATTATACTATGAATGTTGTGTATTCGAGTGAGGCCAAAAGCTACTGTCGAAAGTAAAGCCAAACTTAATAGGCGGCAAATTTTATAAAAACTATAAAAATATAAAAAATATAAAAAGGTGTCTTAGCTTTCGTCGTCTACAACATCATCAGAGACAATGTGAGTTCTTTAGAAAACAACTATATATTTTCTTCAATGATTGTAAAGTTTCTCCGTTTGAGGCGGCCATATTAAAGTGAAATATAACGTTGACAATAAAAAGCGCGCGTGATTTGTGATCTCATGAGAGGCAAAGAGATGGCAAAGACCGCCTATAAGTCTAAGACCGTTTACGAAACGGAAAATTGCTTCGGCGCCACAAATATTTCACCATGCATGTATTCCTGTTTCCCAAGCAGCTGAAGCGGCACCAGAACAGGAAGGGGGAAGGAGGCAGGCAGATTTTCGTACTATATATGCAGAGGCGCATTTTAATTGACATATATTCAGGAAGATTGCGAAGGATCTGGAGTTTGGGTGTATATGTAGGGTGGTAAAGAAATTTACTTGAATTTGAACTTCAATGTTAAAATTACCTTCAATTATTATAATTGGTGCTATATAGTATCTCGAAATTCGTAAAGAATGTATACGTGGGGTTTGCCGGTTAACCCCCCATAGTTTTCAGAAGCTCGATGACTGCATTTCTGACATTTTTTGGAAAGAATTCGTTCACGAATTGCGTAATATTGTCGAATATTGACTCACTTGCGTATCATGAAATAATTCTTTATGACTTTTTTCGCCTTGTTCCCGTTTTCCAATTGCACAATATGACTTGTTTCCTATAAAAAACATGGGTAAACCTCTTTTTTCCTTCATGAAACTGAAAATCAGACGACATAAATGTTTTTAACACGTCACAGTTTTCTGAGCGTCGCTATATCTTCTGAGGGGTGGTAGAAAAAAGCGTAAAGAGAATTTTTGGGATTTCTAAATCCCTGCAGATATATATCCAGGGATTCTGGGATATTTTGCCGATTAAGTTTTCAGCGGATTTTACTGGCACTTTGGCCCGAATTTCTAAATTCAGTTCACGAGATTTTTGAGAGGGAACTGAAACAGTACGACGGATTAACAAAAGTTTTATATATATAGACCTGACCTTTGGCTTTTACCCTGTGTAACATTTTTGAGTTGACATATATGATAGTTGTTTTCTTTTGAAAAGAACCACGTTCATAAGAATCATATGTTAAGAACCATGTTTACAAGAACTGCATCCATGTAGATAAGAACAGGCATGTTTCTATAAGAACCGTCTCAGTGGATAAGAACCATATTTATAAGAACCGTCCAGATATATAAGATCCATTTTTATTAGAAACATATATAGATAAGAAAGACGTTTTACGTGACATATTTGCTCAACTAACAATCTAATTATACTTCTCAAATCACATCGGCCGGTTTTGTATGAGAAGTTGCTGTACATGCATGCAGTATCTTCTAAACTGACTGAGACAGGCAACAAATTAACGAAATTTGCCCCATGGAAACAGAACCACATTTTAATCGATTGAAAACGTTTTACGTGTAAAGGGAAATAAGTCACTCAATAACTATTATTTGGGAAGTCTAGCCTATAGGAATTTCCGCACAAATCCCGCATGCCACCAGTACCACCAAGAGTGCAAAACTCGTTGCATAAGTCATAATGGCAGGAAGTGAATTGTATTTTAGCATTTTAGGTTTTTGTTGGTGTTGGGTAAATTGCTTTGGAATTACGACATATAGCCTTTAATGTTTTATAAAAAACTGATTAGTGAGTTCCGAAAGCGACATGGCATCGCGGGCAATGCTCGTTTGACTTGCATGTATAATATTATCTTGAGCCAACTCTTCTCTCATGCAACTCTTGTTGTCCTTGTTTTCTTTGAAGTTTTAACCCATAACCACCTGCTTTGCTCTTGAAGTGATGATGAAGGTCCTTCAAACGTATTCCTCACGGTTGGGCGTTCCCCAACAGCCCAATTAAACTTGTACAACCGCAAACTGTATAATACTGAGAAACACAAAATACTCTTTTGACATCTCACCAGTGTTTAATTAACATGTCGTGGGCGTTTCCGTTTAAGAGACTATTGCATTAAATTTCAGTATAATTGGAAAATACTAGAGTGACTCGAGGCTAATATTTTAGTGTTGGTTTGACCACGGTTTGTCTGATTTTTCAGGATGATTCATTTTTTGTTCTTGTTTGTAGTGAAGCCATGGCGCAAATTCCCTTTCTGTTCACTACCCAGGAAATAATGAGCCATTCCTACTTCACTCCATTGTTGAGGGTCACTAGACGCGCGTCATTACATTATTTATGACTCATATTCTATTCCTTGACTTGAGCAACGTAGGAACAAAACAAAGTCAAGCAAAGGTCAGTAATTCCTTTTGAAACATAACGAAATTTGTCCCAAATAGAAATACCCGTAATTTCGAGGGCGGCGTTTATTGCAAATTTTGTAACAACAAATGTGCATTTATTGTTTAATTAAAACTCAACTTCAATTGACACTTAACCCAAAAAACTAAGAATAAAGTTCATATGTTATGAATGCTTCGAATAAACGCCGCATCGATGAGAAATAATGCGGCGTTTATTCGAGGGCGGCGTTTAATAATATTTTTGCTTGTCCCTGCGGCGTTTATTCGAGCGCGGCGTTAATTCGAGGGAGGCGTTTATTCGAGTAATTACGGTAGTTGTGCCATTTTGGAAACCTCCCAAGAAATCCCATATATCTACCACCGGTTCTACCAGAAAGCATGACGAGCAAAACTGTAGCAAAATGGATAAAAACAAGCAGCATTCAGGCAATCTTTTGCCTCTTGTTTGTCTATTCTTAAGGGTCTCCCAAGGGGCGTTTGTGTTCCAGTCAGTCAGTCAAATCTTTATTTAAGCACGGTAGCTTCATCAGGTTTACAAAAAAGTTATCTATACATTAATAAGTTTAAAAAATTTTTCACGCCTATGTTACATTAATATTTATACCTGTTTTCCATGAATGCCGTGTCTATCGAATATGATGTTTCAACAATTGTCGAAATTCAGTAAGAGATTCCGCTTGTCTTATATTGCTAGGTAAGCTGTTCCATAGCACTGCACCACTATAGCTAAAGCTATTTTTAAGATAATTGGTGCGGGGTAAAGGAGCAGCAAGTTTGTTCACGGAGTCTCGAAGTATATAAGAAGTTACATTATTGCGATTAGTAAATTTAGAACATAGATATTCGGGTGCAAGGTTATTTAAAGATTTGAAAACCATCAATGCTTTTTGAAATTGGCGTTGTTGGTTTAGATCATTCCACCCTAGCTTTTCCAATAAGCTATTGGCATCGGCGTCAAAGTTGGAAAAGGTCAACACCCGCATTGCACGGTTTTGAAGTTTTTGAAGTTTGTTAGATAAAGTTTTCCCACAATTTCCCCACACGACATTACAATAATCAAAATGTGGTTGTATTAGAGCTTGGTAAATAACATGCAATGTTTCCAATGAAACAAATAACCTTAACCGCTTAATAGCACCGATACCAGAAGCAATTCGTTTTGTCATTTTATTGATATGACTACTCCAAGTAAGATTTTCGTCTAATAAGACACCAAGTGATTTTGTTGTCGAAACTCGATCTAAAGGAATTCCATTTATTTCAAAAGAAGGATTGTCAGAGAGAGTACTTAAACGTTGTCTCGACCCAATTAACATGTACTCAGTTTTAGTCATATTTAAAGTAAGTTTATTTGATATTAACCATTCATTAATGTTTTCCAAGTCTTCGTTAAGATGAAATTGAATAGTGTTGGTATCGCTACCAGAATATGTAAGATTAGTGTCATCTGCATACATTCTGGGATGAGAATTAGATAAACAATTTGGTAAATCATTAATAAATACCAGAAACAGGAGCGGTCCTAGGATCGTTCCTTGAGGAATTCCACACTTAAGACTACACTTTTTTGAAAGTGACCCGTTAACAAAACATTTCTGCCTACGGTCTTCCAAATATGACTTAAACCATTTGTAG